GGATGTTTCTACCTATGTCCAGTCTTGTGAGGTGTGCCAAAGAGTGGGAAAACCCCAAGACCAGGTCAAAGCCCCTCTCCAGCCACTCCCCATCATTGAAGTTCCATTTCAGCGAGTAGCTGTGGATATTCTGGGTCCTTTTCCGAAAAAGACACCCAGAGGAAAGCAGTACATACTGACTTTCATGGATTTTGCCACCCGATGGCCGGAAGCAGTAGCTCTAAGCAACACCAGGGCTAAAAGTGTGTGCCAGGCACTAGCAGACATTTTTGCCAGGGTAGGTTGGCCCTCCGACATCCTCACCGATGCAGGGACTAATTTCCTGGCAGGAACTATGAAAAACCTTTGGGAAGCTCATGGGGTAAATCACTTGGTTGCCACTCCTTACCATCATCAAACAAATGGCATGGTGGAGAAGTTTAATGGAACTTTGGGGGCCATGATACGTAAATTCGTAAATGAGCACTCCAATGATTGGGACCTAGTGTTGCAGCAGTTGCTCTTTGCCTACAGAGCTGTACCACATCCCAGTTTAGGGTTTTCCCCATTTGAACTTGTATATGGCCGTGAGGTTAAGGGGCCATTGCAGTTGGTGAAGCAGCAATGGGAGGGATTTACACCTTCTCCAGGAACTAACATTCTGGACTTTGTAACCAACCTACAAAACACCCTCCGAACCTCTTTAGCCCTTGCTAGAGAAAACTTACAGGATGCTCAAAAAGAGCAAAAAGCCTGGTATGATAAACATGCCAGAGAGCGTTCCTTCAAAGTAGGAGACCAGGTCATGGTCTTAAAGGCGCTCCAGGCCCATAAAATGGAAGCATCGTGGGAAGGGCCATTCATGGTCCAGGAGCGCCTGGGAGCTGTTAATTATCTCATAGCATTCCCCACCTCCAACCGGAAACCTAAGGTGTACCATATTAATTCTCTAAAGCCCTTTTATTCCAGAGAATTAAAGGTTTGTCAGTTTACAGCCCAGGGAGGAGACGACGCTGAGTGGCCTGAAGGTGTTTACTACGAAGGGAAATGTGCTGGTGGTGTGGAAGAGGTGAACCTCTCCATGACCCTTGGGCGTATGCAGCGACAGCAGATCCAGGAGCTGTGCACTAGCTACGCGCCAACGTTCTCAGCCACCCCAGGACTGACTGAACGGGCATACCACTCCATTGACACAGGTAATGCTCACCCAATTAGGGTCCAACCTTACCGGGTGTCTCCTCAAGCTAAAACTGCTATAGAACGGGAGATCCAGGATATGTTACAGATGGGGGTAATCCGCCCCTCTGAAAGTGCATGGGCATCTCCAGTGGTTCTAGTTCCCAAACCAGATGGGGAAATACGTTTTTGCGTGGACTACCGTAAGCTAAATGCTGTAACTCGCCCAGACAACTATCCAATGCCACGCACAGATGAACTATTAGAGAAACTGGGACGGGCCCAGTTCATCTCTACCTTGGACTTAACCAAGGGGTACTGGCAGATACCGCTAGATGAATCTGCCAAGGAAAGGTCAGCCTTCATCACACATCTCGGGCTGTATGAATTTAATGTACTCCCTTTCGGGCTGCGAAATGCACCCGCCACTTTCCAAAGACTTGTAGATGGTCTCCTAGCGGGATTAGGAGAATATGCAGTCGCCTACCTTGACGATGTGGCCATATTTTCGGATTCCTGGGCAGACCACCTGGAACATCTACAAAAAGTCCTTGAGCGCATAAGGGAGGCAGGACTAACTGTTAAGGCTAAGAAGTGTCAAATAGGCCTAAACAGAGTGACTTACCTTGGACACCAGGTGGGTCAAGGAACTATCAGCCCCCTACAGGCCAAAGTGGATGCTATCCAAAAGTGGCCTGTCCCAAAGTCAAAGAAACAGGTTCAATCCTTCTTAGGCTTGGCCGGTTATTACAGACGATTTGTACCGCACTACAGCCAAATCGCTGCCCCACTGACAGACCTAACCAAAAAGAAACAGCCAAATGCTGTTCAGTGGACCGGAAAGTGTCAGAAGGCCTTTAACAAGCTTAAAGCGACACTCATGTCTGACCCTGTACTAAGGGCCCCAGACTTTGACAAACCGTTCCTAGTAACCACAGATGCATCTGAGCGTGGTGTGGGAGCAGTTTTAATGCAGAAAGGACCTGATCAAGAATTCCACCCTGTAGTGTTTCTCAGCAAAAAACTGTCTGAGAGGGAAAGCAACTGGTCAGTCACTGAAAAAGAATGTTACGCCATTGTCTACGCTCTGGAAAAGCTACGCCCATATGTTTGGGGACGGCGTTTCCACCTGCAAGCCGACCATGTTGCACTGAAGTGGCTTCACACCGTCAAAGAAACTAACAAAAAACTTCTTCGGTGGAGTTTAGCTCTCCAAGATTTTGATTTCGACATCCAACACATCTCAGGAGCTTCTAACAAAGTGGCTGATGCACTCTCCCGTGAAAGTTTCCCAGAATCAACTGGTTAAAATCGTCCTTGAGATGTGGAAAATATTGTTAGTCTTTATGTACTTGGTAGTATATTTAGAGATGCATGTGTCTTATTAACTCTGTTTTCCTAGAGCTCCAGGAAGAAATCCCAGCCAGTGTTTCACCCTAGCTGAGATTTGGGGGGCGTGTCATAAATATAAAGGGAAGGGTAAACCCCTTTGAAATCCCTCCTGGCCAGGGGAAAGCTCCTCTCACCTGTAAAGGGTTAAGAAGCTAAAGGTAACCTCGCTGGCACCTGACCAAAATGACCAATGAGGAGACAAGATACTTTCGAAAGCTGGGAGGAGGGAGAGGAACAAAGGGTCTGTCTGTGTGCTGCTCTTTGCCAGGGACAGAACAGGAATGGAGTCTTAGAACTTTTAGTAAGTAATCTAGCTAGGTATGTGTTAGATTATGATTTCTTTAAATGGCTGAGAAAAGAATTGTGCTGAATAGAATAACTATTTCTGTCTGTGTATCTTTTTTGTAACTTAAGGTTTTGCCTAGAGGGGTTCTCTATGTTTTTGAATCTAATTACCCTGTAAGATATCTACCATCCTGATTTTACAGGGGGGATTTCTTCATTTCTATTTACTTCTATTTTTATTAAAAGTCTTCTTGTAAGAAACTGAATGCTTTTTCATTGTTCTCAGATCCAAGGGTTTGGGTCTGTGGTCACCTATGCAAATTGGTGAGGCTTTTTATCCAACATTTCCCAGGAAAGGGGGGGTGCAAGTGTTGGGAGGATTGTTCATTGTTCTTAAGATCCAAGGGTCTGGGTCTGTAGTCACCTAGGCAAATTGGTGAGGCTTTTTACCAAACCTTGTCCAGGAAGTGGGGTGCAAGGTTTTGGGAAGTATTTTGGGGGGAAAGACGCGTCCAAACAGCTCTTCCCCAGTAACCAGTATTAGTTTGGTGGTGGTAGCGGCCATTCCAAGGATAACGGGTGTAATATTTTGTACCTTGGGGAAGTTTTGACCTAAGCTGGTAAAGATAAGCTTAGGAGGTTTTTCATGCAGGTCCCCACATCTGTACCCTAGAGTTCAGAGTGGGGGAGGAACCTTGACATCTGGATATTCCTCTTCCAATGGAAGCTAGCAGATGCAGCTAGGGCCAGGCTATTCTTCCTTGTTTCTAGCTGCCTTTACAGGCCTCTGCACACTTCTTTGCTGTGCAAAGCCAGCATCCCTCTAGAACAGGGGTTCTCAAACTTAATTGCACCACGACCCCCTTCTGACAACAAAAATTACTACATAACCCCAGGAGTGGGGACTGTAGCCTGAGCCCACCTGACTCCCACCACCTCGAGCGGGGGGAACAAAGCCAAAGCCCCAGGGCTTCAGCCCCAGGCTGGGGGCCTGTAACCTAAGGCCCGCCACCCGGGGCTGAAGCCCTTGGGCTTCGGCTTTGGTCCTGGGTAGTGGGGTTTAGGCTTTGGCCAGCAAGTCTAACGTCATCCCTGGAGACCCACAGCTTGAGAACCACTGCTCTAGAACCAGGTAGACAGAAGCAGCCACTACCACATGACTAGCTGGCTCCCTGCTGAACACAAAAATGTGCTTGTGAACCTCCTGTGCTCGCCACACCAAACTCTGGGAGCTGCTGGCCTAAGCACGTTGCTCAAAAGCAGAGAGAAAACGTGAAGCAGATCGGACTGAAGTGAAAGTGCCATTTCTGTTCCTTTGGAGAAGGAACAACTTAGCTGCTTTGGAGAACAGGCCCCTGAAAGCCCACATGGTATATGCAATGTTGTTGTCCACCCAGAGCTTCTTCAGTCATGTCGCATTTATTTAGAGCTACTGAACCTGCGCCCAGTAAATGTTTGAAGGAACGACACCCTTTCCTCAGCCTGTTAGTGCTACCTAGGGTACAAATGTTGTGCCCAACTTTGAGGAGATGTTTGCAGAGGTAAAAAACAAAACAAAACACTACAAAACACTTTCAAAAGTGATCAGCAACAGCCTTACCCTTACTGATCTCAGTGGGAACGGTATGTCTACACAGCAGCTAGACACCCGTGGCTGGCCTGTGCCAGCTGACTAGGGCTCACAGGGCTTGGGCTGCAGGGCTGTTTCATTGCTCTGTACACTTCTGATTTTTCAACCTTGCAGGATCCTAGATCCCAGGCTCCAGCCTGAACCCAGACATCTACACAACAGATCTACACAACAGCCAGAGGGGCTGGCACAGGCCAACCATGGGTGTCTAGTTGCTGTGTAGACATACCCTGAGACTTTTAGCATTGACCTCAGTGGGAGTGGAGTTAGACCAGTGGTGAGTCCTTTTGAAAATTCCATGCTACATGTTCACAGATGTGTCTCCAACTTGAATTTAACCACTTTTTACTTGGGAGTTAAATATTTTACACAGTTCTTGATTATGGCATAGCCACAGCCATGTCAGATCAATTTTTTTTTTTTTTGCAGTATAGCTAGAGAACATACAAGTAATACATTTTCCAGATTATTTTAATCCCAAACTACCAGCTCAGTCAAAGGCGTTTTAGTAAATATGACTAAAATAAAGGTGTCTTACCTGATAACTGTCCAGTGGCCACAGGTCTCACTTTATATGGAGTACTGCAAAATATCAAAGAGGGCTGGTTACAATGACACTGATAAAACACTTTGTGTTTTCTGTATAGGACTGGTGTACATGCCATGAAGAGTGGGAGGAAGTATATGAATGCATTCTGAGCCAGCTTGAAATTTGTGGGTTGAAAATTTACCCATGGAAATAAAGAACATGCACTTTCTATGAATTTATCGCCTTCAAATTTGCCACTGCACTGGTAGTCAAGGACTTGTTCAGGCTGCTTTAGTGCCACCAGAACACACCATGGTCACACTACAAGCACAGCAGAAATCTCTCCCCTTTGGGGAGAGTCAGGTTAGCTTGGAAATAGAGGTGTCAAGGAAACAGTCACTGGGAAGAAGAAAGTTCCTTGGGGCAGGGACAGACTTTTTGTTCTGTTTGTACAGTGCCTAGCATACTGAGGTCCTGGCCCATGACTGGGGTGGGGGCCTAGGCACTGTGGTAATACAAATAAATAAATAATAATGAGAGTGGCCACGGTAAAAAAAATAGCAAGGCAGAGCAAGCTCTGAGAAGCCAGGGAACAAAAATAAATGGGGTTCAGAGCAGTTGGGCTTGGAGCAGCACCTCATAAAAGCCGGGACCCCCCCGTTTCCAAATAATGACATGCCTAAGTTCTAACAGAGAAATAAAAAAGACTGTGAATTAAGGGAGCTGGGAGCCTTTGGAGTAAACATAGTGGGTTGTAAACGGATGTTCTACATGAAATACTTATGTGCAGTAGTTTTTCCTCAGATAACTCCGCCTACTTTAATAGCAGGTAAAATTACAAACCAAAGAGGCATTAGTGTTATAATCTTGTGCCCAACTTCTGCTGACAGCTATTTCCCACTGCACAGGCTCTCCTGCCACATTGCACAGGAAAGGTGTTTATGGCTAAACAAACCCTCTTCCCTGGGCTTGACGCTATTTTACAATATCGCGTCCTCCTCAGGCTTACCTCTCTGAGTTTGCTGGCATTGTTGGATCGATGGATACCATGCAATTATCAACTGTCAAAAGTGAGATAGTTGTGTTCCTGAAAGACACAAATCAGAGAGGTTTATTTAACCTCGAAAGTGACGGTCCTGATTCTGTGCTGCCTCAGACCTTGCATTGCACAGGTATAACTGGCTAAGTGGGCTTAAAACACTCCTATTTTGAGTAGCTACTGTATCTCACCCACTTTGCACTGATGTAGATGACTACACCAGGGGCAAGGCAGTGGAGAATTAGGTCCTTAATGGCTATGTTCTGTACAGTATAACCACAAGAGACATTTGTGATTAAAATGCAATTGTGGTCTTGTCTTTCCCCAGAGGGAACTTTGCTCCCTATAAAATCACATATGCTGTGCTGTTGAATAATCAGATACTGACTTCTACTGAGGAGGTATCGTGATTTATTGACTTGGCAGATATATATTGACGGAGTTAAAAATCAATAAAAGTACTTACCTTGAGATAATACACACAAAATCCAACCCCCTCCAAGCTACACAAGTGATTATCAGTGTTGTTATCCACTTCTTTTACAAAAGGGAATTCTGAAATTGTTAAAGAAACTCCTTCACAACAAACAAAAACAAAACACCAACTGCAATTGAAAAGAGGGCAATGTTTTCTGAATATTAGTTTGCTAGTTTGGGCACCACAGACTGAACTGTGCTCACCAGAAGCTTGTTTGAAATTAGTGAAACTTCAGCAGCCCTTTGTATGGCCCTATTTAAAACAAACCATAACCTAACCTGTTTAACTGAAACCCTCCTGTTATTGTCCATGAATGGCTTACATTGTTAAACAAGGTTTTCTGAGGGACAGTGGAAGTGCTTGACATCACAGGCAAATGACAGTTGTTGAGCTCTCCAATATCAAAGGAGGGGTAATAGCGAGGGTAAACAGCAAAGCTTATTGGATTCAATCCCAGAGTTTTATGTAAATAATAGTCAGTAGGATTCTCCAGATGCCCACAGAGTTAACCACACTCAATAACCCTGTGATTTAATGTTTTTCTTGGGTTTTGTACTGTGGGTGTGTACATCTAAGGGACATCATACTCCTCTCTGCATACCCCTTTTAGAGGGTTCTGTGATGTCTAGGGAGCAGTGGGAACTGGACTCCAGCGCATAGGCAAAGGGCTGCTGGCCGATTCCCCCAGATTCATGGGTGAAACCTCCAACCAATTCTCTTTGTGGAGGATAGGTACACCAAACTTTATCCCAAATGAAACAATTAACAAGAAACTCCAGGAGTGGAAACTAATGGAATTTTTAGACCGCCCCCCACCTCACAAAAATAACCCAGTTAAAGGAGAACATGGCCTGGAACAAGGGACTCGGTGACATTTTTTGTTTGTTTGTCCCATTTGTGCAAAATTCTAGTGGGTACTCTGTTTGGATACCAGGAACCTTGAACAAGAGTGGTATAGTTCTATTTGACAGTGCCCCAAATGTAAAACTGGCATCCTTGACTGGGCTTGTCTGTGCACAATTTCTCAAAACATCCCTCTCTTCTATTCTATTCCTTATACCAGACTAATATTGTGATATCCGAGCACCTTCCAATAGTGCATTAAGCCCTCTTCTGTTATTCATTATGCATGAATTACTGTTACCCCAATTTCTGATTCTCACATTCTGTAACTTGAGATATGCCTGAGATGCAAAATTCAAATCTGGGTTCAGATCTAGATTTTGAAATATATTCTCCTCTTCCCAAAACTAAGGGATTGTTGGGTGTGAGGTTCCATTTTGGGCCCACCTCTGAATTGTTCTGAAGAGGGAAGGAACCAAGGTGAAAGGTGTGTTAGCCCTTGTCAAATGTATCAAATGATGCCTACCTTGGTAACCCAGTTGCAATGCAGAAGAGGTCAACAATATCTCTGGAATTGCAGTATTTACTGAAGACCACCTTCCAAGCAAAACAGCAGCAGTGAAGAAAAACAAGAAAAAGAAGAGAAGGTACGGTTAAATTCCATTGGACATGGACCTCATGTACTGGCTTTACATAAATGACCATTCTTGCTTTTAAAATATCTGATTTGCCCTGGGCATCGAAATTCTTTCCTCCCTTTCTTATCTTCCCCCTTTTCTAATTCATTTATTTTCAATGAGAAAGCAGAGCAGGAAAGGGGATTTTGGAATCCTAACCGAACTATCTACAAATCTAGCATATGGTATCTGAAATGACAGCAAAAGAAACTTTATCATTAATCTAGAGAATGATCATGATCTATAGAATGGGTCAGATCCTCAGTGTCAATTTGCATTGGTTAATTCAAGTCAACGGTGCTGCACTGATTTATATCAGCTGAGGATCCGGTCCTGTAATTTAGATGGAATGTAATATTTTCCAAGGAAGCCAAACTTCCCACTGTAATGTATGGCACTATTGCAGTACTATTAAGTTAGCAGTTGAATCCACTTGAGATTAATTTTTCCAACTGCTGTTGACCCCCAAAGAATGCTCTTTATCCTTTTACACACAAAAAATTATGTTAAAAAACACTATTAAGGTTGCAAAGACAACCCTAAAAGATGTCAGTTTAAAAATCTCCAAAAGTCAGGAAATGCTGGCATTAGGTGTTCCATGCCATCCCTTTGTGCATTTGCATTATGATACAGTCTTTAATTACATGATCACATACTATTTTTTCCATTGGACCCCTGCCTCTTTCAGTGCACAGGATAGACCTGCTCTGGAGATGAAGCATGATTGTGTTGTAAAGAAGACTGTTGTCTGTCAGACCCCTGCTTCATTTGTTGCAGAAGTTAGAAGATGTGGGGAAGGGGATTGCAGGAAGAGAAAGGACACACTCGTGGTCCTCCTGCAATCCCCTGCCTCATTCCTTTCACCACACAGACCTCTGCCGTTCGAGTAACTGATAGCAGTAGTAGGTTGTCTTCCTGTATGTGGACCAGCACTAGAGGGGGGACAGGACGCTTTGCCAGTGGGTGTCACACATATTTGCCTACAGCAGAGGAATGGTGAGACTCAAGGATCTTGCTTTCCATTCCAGGCTCTAATGGGGAGTGTGCTCTACTGGGCATGGATTCTTCTGTTTATTCCCCCCCCAAGCATGACCCCTTCTCTAGCCTGTTCCAATTCTGTTGCTTCCTTACTCCTAGCTCCTTCTTCCAATCTCATTCTCTTCACTTGGCAGCTCCTAGTCTCCATGCCTCAGGCTTCTCACCCCAGTCCCAACCTCCTTGCTCAGCCAGTCCCAGTTCTCCCCTCCTGGCTTCTCATCCAGTCTGCCTCTCTCCCCAACCCTGGCCTCCAGTTGCCCCCTCCACCCACATTCCCAGTCTCCTCATCCAACTTCACTGTTCTCTCTTGCGTCCCAGCTCTTTGAACCACTCTCTTTGTCCAGTCAGTCCCACTTCTCCTCTGCACCCAGCTCCTCATCAGATCTCTCTCCCTTCCCCGGCCACTTCCTTCACTCTTCCCCCACTCAGTTCCAGTATCCTCCCACCTACTGGCTTGCTCCCCATTACCTTCCCTGGCTCCCAGTCTTAGTCTCCCTCCTGCCCTAACTGCTGATCTGATCCATGTCTCCCTCCCCATGGCCTTCCCTATCTCATAAACCCAGTCTCTTTATTCATCCAGTCGCAGTCTCCTTGACCAGCCTGCCCAAGTCTCCCTCTCCCCCCACCCACCATCAGCCTGCAGCCCCACTCAGGCTCCTTGTTCTAATCTATTCTTCCTCAGGTCTGGCTCTTGTCTTTGCAGCACCCTCCTCCTCACTGCCTGGACCCCACTCATTCAGGTATCTAGATTAAATGTACAGGATTGAACAATTAGATCATTAAAAACCTGAGACAGATCATTACCAGTTATTACATGTTATTTGGAAAGTAACTGGCATCAATTTACCCTATATGGCTATTTTGATAATCACCACAGTGATGGACCTTAGTTTATTACAGTCCAGCTGCAATCAAAGCAGTAAATCAAGGTTTTAAATATATTTTAATCAGATTTAGATATGACTGAAATCCTGCTCTTAGCAAAACACAGCATCTTTCAGAGGTTCTAGCTACTAAAACTGTCCGACACAATATCACAAGCCCATTATTGTACAAACAACTGACAAATGCAATAATTTAGGAGATGATGGCAATTGTAGCTGAACTTAGAACGAACTTTTGTGACATGCTGGGAGCGCTATTTCAGGTGTCCAGGGTTCTCATTCTGGAAATCAATTATTAGTGACCAGAAACTGGGATAAGAGTGGGATAAGATAAAAAAATATTCAGGAAGCACTAAAGATCAGAAAACCAGCCCGTTTCATGAAGGAAAACACAAGGCTTTCAATGAAGCCAGGATGAATTTTTAAAAGTTCCAGATAATAATGAAAGAGTGAAAAGTTAGGCAATAAAGATATTCCTTTGTGGTTATATTTAAGTGGACTATGGGCTAGATTCCTAATTTTCTTGGTCTTTTAAAAGTTTGATAGAAACTGATTCATAAATCACTTGCTGCATTTTGCTAAGGAGAGCAAGATTTGAATGATTGTCTTTAGGTTTTCTTTTAAACCAATGATTTTATGCTGTAAAAGGTCTTTTCCTTTGTCAGTTGCTGCGCTCTTCTGATTGGCTTCCTTCTCTTTTCAAACAAAGCAGTCAGCCAGCAAGCAATCATTTCCCAGCAAATATACAATTGTTTCTGTGATTGTCTGCACATTCTTACTCCCAATGAAGTAAATGGGAGTTTTCCTGGTGATTTCTCAGTGGGAAAAGGAGTTGGGCCCTTTGTTCTGAGACTGTGGCGGTGAGTTATTTTGCCTTAGGGCTCGATTAATGAGCTAATAGTATCCTTTCTATTTTACATTATGTGTAACTTGTGGGGGGGAGGGTGGACTTTGGGCATGTGTGTGTGCCATTTATAGCCCTAGCAAAGTCTGAAAAGCCAATTCACTCAGAGCTGGCTTTTATTCCAGAGACATTAGCAATTTTCACCATCTATGGGTGAACCACAGCAATATTAGCTTGCAAACATTCATTGCCACCTAGGGTGACCAGATAGCAAGTGTGAAAAAATCAGGACAGGGGGTGGGGGATAATTGGCGTCTATATAAGACAAAGCCCCAAATATTGGGACTTTCCTTATAAAATTGGGACATCTGGTCACCCTAGTTGCCAATGGGAAAATGATTAGCCACTGACCTGTCACAGTCTGTGGTAACCTGCTTCCAGATGGCAACTGCAGCTCACTTCTGGCCTCTCTCAACTGCATGTCCCAGTACTTGAGGGCCAAGGGAAGCTCATCACACACTCCAGAAAGGCATCTTTCCTCATACAGAAGTTCTAGAACCACTGACGGTCATCCTAGGTCTGCATGATAATGCAGTCCCATCGCTCCGTGCTTGTGGTCCTGCTCCAGAATTGCCAATCAGCTTACTGGGATTCCACAGCTATTAAAAGCTGCATCAGCTGTCTCCACTGCTCCATATCTCCATGCAGCCTGCATGATCTCCTTAGCAAGCCCTGCTGCCATCGTTTTCTCAGGATGACAAGCAGCTGCTGAAATGCCCTCTGTTGTGTCTGATGTCCTGTATCCGTCTTAAGTTGCATTAATGCCAGCATCTCAGAGTAGGAGACATGGTTACCAACAGATTGGGATGGAGGTCCATCCTGGACAGAAATCTAGAGAGTGCCAAACAAGAAGTACTTCACTGAGTTGGTGGGCTAAGACCACGTCCACACAGGTGCCCAGGTTGTCCCAATATACGCTTCCACAAAATAATAATTCATAGAGCAGCGCAGCTTAGAGTAGGACTAAGAACTATGGGACGTGCTCCCAGAAGTTCTACGGCCTTACAGGCACGAGTACAGTATCAGTGTGGGTGCAGCAATTCCACTGTGGCTTTGCAGTGAGGGCACTTACACTGCAGCTAGGCCAACCTGGGTGCCAATCACTTGAATGACCAAAATCATGTGACTGTAGTGATGGGTGCTGGCACTCTGACTGAATTCTTCTACATACCCATAGAAGAGATATAGCACAGGCAGGGGCAATTCAGGTTGCCCTACACTGCCCCAGCAACACACTTCAGCTTGCCCTGGAGAACTGACATCTAGGGTTTAATGGTGGATTGAGGAAATATAGCCATTCTTTGTTAACTTCACTGGCAAGGGTGACATGATTGTGTGGATTCTTATCTGCTGGGAACTGGACTGGTGCCACTAGGTTAATTTCAAATAGACCTCATGTTGTAGGAACTTTTGGTAACTACAATTTTGGACTGGATTTGAACTCGCCACCTTGAGAGAGAAGGCTCTATATTTCACCAGCTATTTCCTTCCCTGTCCAGTTCCCTGCAGAAATGCTGTCTCAAAGTTCTCTTTATTGAACTATCAGAGCCAGCTCAGTTTAGTCATTTTTATTCTGGTTCTCTTTTAACAACACTCTAAAGGTGGGGGAGAGGGTGCTAGAGGGTTCAGTCTGAATTTGCAGATTGCGAACTTCAAGATCCCCAACCATATATAAATCCAGTTAACTGCCTCTCCCTCATGCATGTGCCAGACAGCAATGGAAGGAATATAATCCTCAAAAACATTATAGCAACTGCACATAGTTTGCTTCCCCTGTTTTAGGGTTAACATTTGCTACATTTCAGTCCCTGTTGCCCCCTTGTCTTTAGAGGAATTTCCAATAGGCTTAGAAAAAAGGACAGTGAAACTGTCAGTGAAACTGGTCATCATTTAATATTTTGCACAATCATTTTAATAAGCCTCCAACAAAGCCAACATGTAGCCATTTGATTTAAGCACAGGATATGCTCGGATTGCTTCTGAGGGTAACATGAAGCAAGGAAAGAAAGAGTGACTAATGAGATGACTGAGACTTTCTGGAGTGGAAATAATAGTTAGATTAAGTGTGCAAAGAGTGTGAAATAGGCCACTGAG